AGGCTGTGTTTAGTGAGAAGTGAGCCCAGGACAAAGCTCTGAGGACCCCCAGTGTTTTGGTGTTGTGCAGAGAAGGAGCTGGCAGAGGAGCCTGAGAAAGAACTGCTACAAAACCAGGAGGCAAAGGAAGCAGCTGCCGAGAGAGCAGGCGAGACAAAGGCTGAGGGTCTGCTTTGAGAGCTGGCGGCTCCCGATGGCCTGGAGGGCAGTGTGGCTTGTGCAGAGTGATGGGAGTGGAAGCCGGCTGGGAAAGTGTGGAAGAGTGAGTGAAAACAACCTGGGCGTCTGGCGGCTGGGCTGTCAGGATGTCGTGGTACATCTACGCAGAAAACTGTTCAGTGTGATGTGCACAGGCTGGATCGGGATTGGCAAACCACAGCCCCAGGCCAAGTCTAGCCTACTGGCTGTTTCTGTAAGGCCCGTGAGCAAAGGATGGTTTTTGTTTTTAAATGTTTGGAAAAAAAAGGTCAAAGAATAATATTTCATGACACATAAATATTATATGAAATTCAAATTCCATGAGTAAAGTTTTATTGGAAAACACCCAGACTTACTCATTGATGTGTCATCTGTAGGTTCTTTTGTACTACAGTGGCAAAGTTGAAGAGCTGTGACGGACTATCTGGCCCGTAAGACCTAAAATATTTCTTACCTAGCTCTGTACTGAAAAAACTTGCCGATCCCTGAACTAGACTTAGACTGTCAGCGTGGTTTAATCCTAAGAATATAATGTGGAACAACAAAAAATCAGTTGCAGAAGAAATAGGGTACTGTTTATATCAACGTTAGCAAAATTCGTATCTTCTGTGTCATACAGATGTAGTAAAAGTAGAAGCATGCATGGAATGCTGAACACAGATTTAGTATGAACAGTTGCTTGGAGGAAGAATGAGATTGGCGAGGTATGCAGGGACTTCGGTGGTGTGTGTAGTGTTCCACGCTTCGGAATTCTAAGGATGTATAGCGGAGAGTCAAGATTTTATAAGCAGGATGGTTGGTGCATGAGTATCTCCTGTATGTCTTCACATTTGAAATATTTTACATTTTTAAAGTGAACAGGAATTAGTAAAGGATTAGCCCAGAATATAAAGAACTTATACAGATGAATAAGAAAAGGACAACCTCCTCAATACAAATGTGATAAAAGAATATAACAAGTTGTTCACAGGGAGAGAAGCCTAAATGGCTGATGAGAATGAAAAGAGGCTTCCTTCACTAATAGGAAAAATGCAGATGAAGACAGTAGTGGGTTACCACTCACACTGCCGGACAGGCCAAGCTTAAAGTCTAATCGTGAAGTTTGGCAAAGATACGACATAGGAGCTCTCCAGCTACTGGTTGGACTGAAAATTGGTAGCTCATCTCTTAGGTATTTACCTTCGAGAAATTCTTACACATGTTAATTGTAGCCTTGTTGAAAGGTGATTGATGAGAAACTAAACCCCACCAGCAGGAGAGAGGAGCGCTAACTTGTGATCCACGTGTGCTGGGGGTGAGTGATTGGAGTGGCAGAGCTGCACGTACTGACACGGGGAAATCTCAAACGTAATGTTGACTGTGAAAAACAGCATTAGAAGGGTGTGCACATTATGTCCTTTATATAATTTAAAAAATACAAGCAACTATATAAATGCGATGTATGTCTTACAATTAAGAACACATATGGTAAGATGTTAGCATTTGTTAAAACTAAGTATGGGTCAATGGTTGTTTATAGTAGTCTCTGATTTTTCAAGAGTGCTTGAAATGATTCTTAATTTAAAAATCTAGGGGACACGGAAGAAAGGAGTGACTGGGAATTGAAATGAAAACAGATAAAAGAGGCGACAGCTCTTAAAAAGTTTGGTTGTGAAAGGGAA